CACCTGAGATATCTCTGCTGACTGACACGGACTGTGACATGGGATCCAAGCCTGCAGCTGCTGCTGAGCCGGGGTCACAGCACACCTGTGCAGGCACAGCACACCTGTGCATTCACACCTGTGCAGCCACAGCACACCTGTGCATTCACACCTGTGCAGTCACACCTGTGCAGCCACACCTGTGCAGCCACAGCACACCTGAGCAGTCACCGCAGACCTGTCCTGCACTTTCCCTGGCTGGGAACAGCGAGCTGAGCTCTCTCACTGTCTGTGCAGCAGTTGCCATGGGCAGGGGGTCCCTCGGTGGGATCTGCCCCACAGGGAATGTGCAGCAGGACACTGATTTCTGTGCTTACCTGGGGCCGATGAACCCAGCACTGTCCCTGCACTGACATGGATGTTGGGTGACAGCCCCAGAGCCCAGGGCTGGGGCAGGGCAAGAACAGAGTCTGGGTGCCTCCATCCTCCTGCTTTTCCCACCCGCCTGTGCTAACCTCTGTGAGCCCCGTGGGCAGCCCGGGGATTCTGCAGCGCTGCCACAGCACAGGGACATTGCTGTGCCCCTCCTGGCACTGCAGGGCTGCTCAGGGGCAGCTCGGGGACACCAGGTCAGACACCCCTGCTGTGCCCTGTGCAGGGCCTGGGCAGAAGCTGCACCCCTGTGCAGGCAGGAGCTGCACTGCACATCCCTGCACAGCACAATGCCTGGTGTCAGCAGAGGGCAAAGCCTGCAGCTCCTTCAGCCACTGAGCCCTCCCCATTCTCCTGCTGCTGGCAGCAGTAAAAGAGCAGCACCAACTCCATCTCAGCCTCAGCTGAGAATCCAGGCTGTGACAGGAGGCAAGACCTGCCCGCGCCCTGCAACAGCTCCCTGGGCATTTCTGCGTACTTTTCACAAAGTAAAGTAGCAATTTCACAATTTTCAGTAAGTGGATAAAAATTTTCCTGTATTTTTCCCTAAACACCCAACGTGAGCCTGTGGCATTCTGGCATTCAGTGCTTTAGGCTGAAAAAACCAAAGGGCAACAGGAAATTGTCTGTGTATTGAATGCTGCATTTGTTCTTTCCTAAGTGAAGAGTGTTTTTTCCCAACAATAGACTATGCCATTTCAGAGCATTTTGGACAACTGCTTGCACCAGGCTGACAGGGGCAGAGCCATGACTCTTTGTGCAGCTCAGGCAATTAGTGTGAGTATCCATTCTCCTCCTTTCCATAAGTGCTGTCTTTAAACACCCCTGTGAGCTGAGAGCCAATCGATGCTGACTCATCTCCCTTTAAGTGCTATTGATGGTTTCTGTGTAAAACCAGGCCGTTTTGGCTGTTTTGCTGCTGCTGCTGTGGCTGTGGCAGTGCCTGCAGGTCCCCAGTGCCCCCAGCCTGGCAGCTGTGTGGGGATGCTCGGCACTGGATGGACACAACCCCTGGCAGATGAGCAGGAGGGATGGGCACCAGCAGGTCTCTAGGGGACAGGGGGCCTTGGCAAAGTGGGCAGCAGAGGCTGGGTGCCCCTGTGCCATGGGTTGTGTCCGTCCAGTGCACCCTGACCCCTCNCAGCCCCGGCTGCAACTCCCCGCTGGAGAAGGCGGGGGAGCCGCCCGGCCTGGGCAAGAAGAACGACATCTCCCGACACAGCTACTCCCGGTACAACACCATCTCCTACCGGAGGATCCGCAAAGGAAACACCAAACAGCGCATCGACGAGTTCGAGTCCATGATGCACTTGTGAACTGAGGGGGAGCGCCTGACGCTCCGAGCCCTGGCCTGGGCCTTGGCTTTGCTTTGCTCCCCCAAACGTGTCTCTTCACACGACACAAGGTCACTGCTTTTCTTCTTTTTGTACATGATTTATAATACACTGTGAAAATTTAACACCTTGGCTTTGACGGGGGCAGAGGCATCCGTAGCGCAGGAAAATAAATAATCAGTTTGCTAAATGCACACCCGCTGGATGTTCAGGGTATCCTCCTTTCTCCCTCTGCCTTTGTACCGCGTTACTGTAACCCAGTGCTGCCAGTCAGACTCTCTCAGGTGTCCTCATTTTCATCCTAAGTTTAGGTGCAAAATTTAAAAGATTATTTTGTCAAAACCAGGTGGGTTTTAATCCATTATTTTTGTCTCACCTGGACATTACCCTTCTCAGTTTTGAAAGACCTTTGTGTAAGCACCATGCAGTGGTGCCAATATTTTAAAACTGTTTTACTCTAGATTTGTCTGGAGTTGGGACTCAGCTTTGCACTTGTCATCCCAGAAAACATCTGGGAAAGCTGAGGACTGCTGGCAAGAGAGAAGAGGCAAGGAATGAGTTACCCAGGGCCTCCTGCAGCCATAAGTGCCTTTTAAAGGATTAGTTTTACATCTCCAGCAGCACTGAATATCTCTTTGGCTTTTCTTGTTCTACATAAAGGCAATTATTTATTGGCGACGTGAAAATAATACGGGGCAATTCTGCATTGTGCCAGCAGACATAGCCCTCATTGTGCCATTCACACTTGTTTGTTTGCTCCTTGGCCCGGGCAAGTTCTGAGCTGTGCTTGTACCAACCTATACTGGGGGTCTGTTCCCTCTGCCAGCTGCTCTGGGGTGGCACAGCCCTTGGGGACGTGGCTCTGGGGTCAGTTCCCTCTGCCAGCTGCCCTGGGGTGGCACAGCCCTTTGGGGACGTGGCTCTGGGGTCTGTTCATGCTGCCAGCTGCCCTGGGGTGGCACAGCCCTTGGGGACGTGGCTCTGGGGTCTGTTCCCTCTGCCAGCTGCCCTGGGGTGGCACAGCCCTTGGGGA